GGATCATGTCAGAAAAAAGGTGATCAATTCTTGCATCATCATTATCAGTGAATCCTAACAAAATGCCAGATTTCTAGAATATACCACTAAACACCAAGTTCTTTACCAAGGCACACAACACCAAATTGCATATCATGCTAGTCACTTGTTAACACGCTTCCTCTACTTGCTGGGAGAGCAACATTTGTGATTTATGTAACAGCATAAATATTTAAGAATAATCTATTCAAGACATCAACATGTTTAATAACTTCTTGGTTTTCAAACTAAGTTCTTGTCACTGATAGTTGAAAATTAAGATAAAGCAAAAGGTATGCTTGGGATTTTGTTTAAAACTCAAGGACACTGTACATTAAAGTAGAGGAAACTATACTAGTTACTAGCTATTAACTAAAGTGCTCCATACTAGAGTAATAATTTTACAAATTCAGACATGAATATCCCCAAAATTTGAGCTCTCCCATAGCAACTCTATCTGCCTTATGCACATTCACAAAAAAAAAAGCAAGAAAAGCCAAACAGTACACATTATGGAGCACATGAAACAATTTATTTGCTAGTATAACTGGGGATGGTGCAAGTTTGCTTGGCCCATGAGGACTTAACCTAGGGCTCCTGAGCACACTGTTGGGAGTGGACAAAGTGCATTCCTTGTTGGAGCCAGAGAAGTATGCCATAGCATGCTGCCTGCTCTCAAGTGTCTGTCCTTGGAGTTTGGATCCTTGAGTGGCTCATGGACAGGGGAGAAGGCAACATGGATTGTAGTAAAGACTGTGGTTATGCTTAGTGCTTACAAACAGGGGGAACTGAGAAGAAGGGCTCCTTATGCCATGCTCTTCATGTACCCACAAAGGGCCAGAAGCCATTTATCCAAGATGCTTTTGATAAAATTCAGCACCTATAATCTACTCATCTCTGCCACTTGGCTATTCTTAATATTTCTAATCAAAAGAGGGTTTACAAGCTCTAAAGACGCAAGCCATTTTGCAAGTGAGGAAGCTTCTTAATAGGCGCTTTGAACTATTGATTAGATGTGTCTGCTATTATAACTGCTATCATAACTGCTATTATAAAGATTAGAGCATACTAAAAGATAAACAGTTTATGCTAAAGATTGCTTTTGCAAGCATAGTTCCGAAATCTCGCCAGTTCTCTCCTTCACTACTCTGCCATTACATCAAAGCAATAGGTTGTGTCTCGTGGTCCATGTACCATGTTACTATATTTCATACCAAAAGTAGGACACTTCTGATGCTTTGTGTCTTCAGAATCATTGAAAGCAAGTCCTAGACATTTTTGTAATCTTACTAAAAATCATAGGGAAGCACAATGCATGATTTCTAGCAAAAAGGAAATTTATGCAGAAATCTGAGATATTGTGAAGATGAGCAAGATTTGAGATGTATACTAGTAAGTCAGGTTAATAAGACTCTGAAAGCAATTAATATTTATCAGCTCTCTTGCTTCACAGTCATGTGCCTATATAAATAAGGCCATTACTTACTCTTAAAAATAAGGGTTTAAGTGGGATGTGCAAGTGAAAAGTAATACACAGCAAATGTGGTTGAGGAATATACAGGATGATTTTTGTAATTTTGAATTCCCTGCCAAGTCATAGACACTAGGCTAAAGCTTTAACATTCAATGCTAAATTGTAAAAGACAATTAAAAAAAAGAATAATAATTGCTATTAGTTTATGAGTAAAAATATTAGAACACAATTAATGTGCTAAAGGTCATTTTATAAGACTGCAAGTCCTTTTGTGTTTAATTAGTTGTAAAATTTGATAAGGGATTACTGAAGATTGGTAGATATTATGTGGTTTATCTGTAAATACTAAGTAGCAACAGAGACATACAATTATGCAAGTAATCTGTAGTGCTCCAGATATTATGTAAAGTCATTCTTGGTACAACTCCAAGTATGAATTTTCTTGAGGTTTTAGGCTGTTTTGTTATATGACAATAGTTCACATCTCATTCTATATTTTACTAAGGCGTAAATTCACTACCTGAACAAAATGCATTTTAAAAATATTTTTTTCCACAAACAATACTTGATTACAGTTTTTTAGCCAGTGCAATATTGAATACCAAGGACTTTGGAAGAAGTTAGGTCTATGTGTGAGCATTATTCTAAAACAAGTCACTTTGGACCAAATGATCAGGGAGTCCTTTCATATATAATCATACATAGTGCATATGCATGCATTTTTTGTTTTTTTTAAATTTGAATTTGATTTCTCAATTTTTCTCCTATTAAAAATTAAAGTAATGAATTGAAACATTATGTGAAGAAACTAAGAGAATGATTTTTATTTTTGAATATACCTTGTGTGTTTTAATTTTAAATCAGTGCTACTTTTCTTCCCCTTTAAAATATATTAAATTAAAAATCACAATCAGCATTGGTCTTAAGTACTTTGAGCAAAAAACAAAGCATCCATTCATGTTTGCACTCTAGTAGGAGCATTTCCTCCTTAATCTCAGGTTCTCTTAGATAAATTCCAGAGATTATAAAAAGATTATATATGCTAGTGATTCTTTTCAGTATATTTTTAGAACAGGTCTCTGAAATAAGCCCCTGAAACACCAGTTTTAAAAGCCATGTGTTAATCCCTTGAGAGCTCAAATATATAGTCACTAAGGAGATAGCCGGCTTTAATGCAGTGCAGTCAATTCAAAATGAAAGCATGAATGATGTACATCTATAGCAGCATGTGGGTACCACTTAATGCTGAGTGATGATCCAGCAGTCTTCTGTCCATCAGTTGAGACAATTAAGTAAAGGATGGGTTAAACAGGATTCTTGGGAGATCTGGGCCTAATGATATAAGCCTGAATGGAGCAATAAAGTAGAAGCAGAGCAATTGACTGCAAAGTTATCATTGCCAGGACAGGATGATCTTTCTCTTAAGTGAAGAAGCTTAAGAACCCAGAAATGGCAGGAAGAAAAGAATCCACCTGAGAGAGGAAGAGTCTATGTATTGTGGCTAAAATATTAGAGGTAAGGAGGTGGGAGGGGGCACAAACTCTGATACCTTTAGGTCCCAGCCAGCCTTAGCCAGACCCCTTTTTATTAACCTTGATGTGAAGAGGCTCAAGGCAACAGTGTTTATACTCTTCTACGAGTTCTTCATGCCCTCCACAAAATATTTACACCAAGGAGATTATTGTTTTTAAACACGGCAACACAGTTTCTCTGGCTGCATCTACATGTTCATTAATATGTTTTTCCTAATGCGTATTAAATTTAGTACCTCCAATGTGAGGTACTAAATAAATTAAGCTGCCCTAATGCACAGTAGCATAAGCGCACACTTTTAAAGTGATGCTTAATGCGCAGTAGGCTAAAAAGATATCAACAAAAAAAATAAAAGTTGCCTCTAAAATGGCCTGTGATTTTGCACAGGCTTATGAAGATGGTGGAATATAATCAATACTCATGGGCTGTCATGGAAAAGGCTTTTGTGTTTAACATTTACGTTTATTATCATGTGGAATAAATATACTTTCTGTTTCTTACTCAAGGTCAGAGCAATGGCTGATTTTTATTTTTGATTTGAGTGTGTCTTTAATTTTGCCAATAATCTAAGCTAGGTTTTGAATTAAAAAAATAATACATTTAAATAAATGTGATATTACTGTGGAAATCAAATAATATCTTTGTTCCACAATTCCACGTGTTTTTTCAGGAATGTGGGAGAACAGCTAGTAGATATGGTTTAGAACATGGTCATCTCTGCTGTTGGGGGGTGACACTTGGATCCAAGCTCTTTGGATCAAATCTCATTGAAGGATAGGGCAGGCTGACTTACACGCCAGCTGCCTGCAGTAGTCCTACACAATTTCTGTGGTAGTTTAAGTGTTCCATGGCACATGTCTGAAACTCAAGTAGGATTCAGCATTTCCTTGCCATTAAACAGAATTTGCTTTATTTGGCATAGCATTATTGCTACTTTGGAACAATAGAAAAAGATATTAGGACTTGGCAAGTACAGTATGCTATTTAAAAGAAAAAAAAATCTAATTTGGCCATTAACACTGAAAAAGCCTTGAACTGAAGTTACTGAGAGAATTGATCCATTAAACGATTTCAAAAGCATCTACTTCTACAATGAGAATATAGAAATACATACTGCTCGAGTGATATAGCTGTGATGGTAAAGAAAATATGCAATAGATAAAGATTTTTCTTTGATATCTTTTATGGAAACACCTATATAAGTGAGAGGGATAGAGACATGCTTTCAAGTATTAAGTATCCACAGACCTGAGGAAGGCTACTCAGTACCCAAAAGCCTCTATATTCCTTCCAACTCTGCAGTTAGTTCAAAAATAATTTTACCCACAAAAATCCTCACCAATTATATAGAAATACAGGCCACATTACTAAGGATGAGTATAAGAGTATAATATAGTTAAGTAGGGGGAAAAAAAAATCAGGAAAGCCAAAGTACAAATTGAGAGGTAACTAGCAAAGGGACATAAATGGTATTGTAAAAATATGTTAAAAGAAAGAAGAAGACTATGGAAAGTGAAGGTCCCTTACTAAATGGAGAAGGGAATCCAATAAGAGATATCACAGTTTCAGTAGTCAGTGGCATAGCAGGCAAATATGTGACTAACAGCATATCCATATTTCTCTGACTGCACAGCACAAAGATAGCACACAATGAATTAGTCATGGTATAATGCTGTAGGGATACCTGTCTTCAGCCATGGCAGAGTTGGCATATCCTGTAAGTAACCGTTCATACAGTTCTTTGACTTATAGTTGTGACTTCTCTCCATTTCTTCTCTAGGATTAGAGTATTCGATATTTACAGTAGATGTCAAGGGGAGATGGTGGGTGTCAGCACTTGCCAGGATTGTGCCTTTAATTAAGTACTCAAACATGGGACATAGGTGATTTCTGAGTTCCTGTGTAAGTGTCAAATGCTATTACTATTATTTATTGATAAGGTAAAGTGATATAGGCAGTCCTCTACTTACAACGTTTTGAGTTACAATGTTTCACACTTACAATATTTATAAATTGACACCATGTTTCAACTTTCTGACATCAGTTTCAACTCTACAATTCTTGATCCGACGCCATGCCAGCAAACAAGTTCACTGCATTGCCCATCTCCCTGGAGAACATCTGTCCAAACCTTCTTGGACACTTTCTTTAAGAAAGCTGACAAGACTCAAGAAGACCCTGCAACCAAGACTCCCGAGAAGATTCAAGCCAAGAACCCTTCAAAAAGTCCAATCAAGAGCCTTTCAAAACGTCCAGCAAAGTCTTTTTGGACTTTAAAATAAAAAAAATCCTTCCAAATCAATATGATTGCTATTTACAATACAAATACATTAATGTAGCTAGATTATTCATCTATAATTGACTGAGTAAAAAATTCTGGGTTATTTTTGGTGAAAACAGGGTATTGGGCCTTGGTTCAGGAACCAATCCCCCATTTATAACATTGTTCCAATGGGAAAAATCGGTTCTGAGTTAAGTCAAAATGTTGCAAGATGCGCTTTTCAGGAATCAATTATGTCCTAAGTCCAAGGACTGCCTGTATACAGATAGGACACTACCAGCTAATAATGAATATCCATAAAAGAATAACAGCATCAGTAAGCCATGTAAATATGTATGGCATAGTCTCATTGCATGTCAGCTGCATACCCCTTTAAACCAGGTCATGCTCATGAATTACACATTGTTAGACATAATATAAAAGAAACTCTGTGGTCTAAAAAGGTATTAATCTCTCAATATTAAGAGCAATGAATAGGTTAAGGACCTGAGTGATGGTGGTGCATTCTGCTGTGACAGAAGATGAGCATCAATCTTGTCCATGCTAAGACATTTCAGCAGCTAGGAAGTGGTATTAGAGACACACTGTGAGATACAGGACCAGATAGAGAGATGGAGTTCAGAAAAGATTTAAAATACTTAATTATAGATTAAAGGGTCATTGCAGGTGATGTGCAATGAGACTATACCATAACTATTTACTTGGTTTATTGAAGTTCTTTTTCCTTTATGGATATTCAAAACTTCCTGTTTGTATATTAATTTACCTTTATAAATAAATAATAGCAATTAGCATGAAGAATGTAACTAAAAAACATGTGATTAGATTATATAACCCCTCCCCTTCTTTTCTGAGTAAAGAAACCCCTTGGAAAGAGATGAAAGAGCGATGACTCGAATTGTAGGCATAGGAGAGGATGATGTTCTGAAATCCACAATGATAAGATGCCAAGAATGAAAAGGAGGATCAAGCATGACAGCACAGCAAAGAGACTGAAAAGATAAGCATGTAGGACCTGAGATTTGGCTAGGAAGGAATACTTTAAAACTTTGGTGAGAGAAGAGCTTCAGGGGAGCAGACAGGATGGAAATGAATTAGGAACAAATCCAGATTGGAGTTGGAAAAAGAATCCCATAGTTAAAAGCAAGCCTTGTAAACATATGAGAGAAGAGTGGTAGGGAGTCAATGGGTGCTTTTTCAGAAAGAGGATACTATAACAGGATGGGCCTTTGGGGTGGCTGTGGTGGGTCCTAGGACCACCCTACTCCAGCCCACACTCCTGGTTTTCTATATAAGCCCCTCTTGTTTATCTCACCTGACACACCTTGATGCTTCTTAGATATTAATAGAGGGGCTGTCCCTGAATCCTGGAGTGCCCTCACTGGCGTTTCCCCTAGTTGCTTCTTATGGTTGCTGGGTCCTCTGCTCACTAGCCAAAACCACGCAGTTCCTCACAGGTGCTTCTCACATAACTGATGGACCTACTGGTGCCTAACTTGCACTGTAAGCCACTTATGGCCTAACTGGTCCTTTTTTAGGCCTTAGTTAGGGCTTTTAACCATGGCTTCCTTTCATCCCTACAGCCAAGCCCATGCCTCACAAATGTTACTCCATTTACAGTTTAGTTCTTTTGTAGAAGCCACAGCCTTCTTAGCTTTAGCCCCCCTCTGCTGTGGCTATGGACTTCCAGCCCTGGCCTGCTGATTCAGGCCCAGCTGTCTTGGCCTCAGCCTGTTCTGGATACCTTGGTCTCCAGGCCCCTCAGCCCTATATTACACCTTGTCTCAGCCTCCCTGGCTTCCAGGGTCTCAGTTCTGCTTCATTCTAAAGTGTTTGGGCTTCTCCCCATGCAGCCCATTGGGTGCCAGACCCAGGAACAGCTCTATGTTGGGTGCCCCCACAGCATATCTGGCCTCCAATCCATTGCTAAAAGCCACAACTGGTCCTGTGGTCTAAAACTAGAACAAAAACACAAGCAGCCACTTTAAACCAAAAATCTCCCTCTTCACATCATCATAGTGCTGCCAGGGCACCTTCCAATTCTCTGGCTCCCTCTGCCTTTGGGATACTGGCCATGGCCTGCAGCTTCCTCTCCCCACCAGTCTGAGCCAGCAAGAGCTCCTCTCTCAGTGGGGTTCCAGGCTCCACTACCTCTGTCTCAAGAACCCAGGTTTATATCCCCCGAGCTCCTCTCCCTTCAGTCAGGTGTCCTCTTAACCAGATACAGGTTTGTCCCCTCCTTAAAGGGCAGCTTACTATGCCTTCCCTCCTGCACTTAAGCCCTGTTCAAGTACCTGGCGTTCTTTCTGATGCAGTCTTTCCCTTAAAGTACTAGGAGCCCTTGGCTCTCTATTACAGATACCAGATTGTGCTCCAAATCTGAAGAGGGAAAGAACTACAAGAGAGTGAAAATTCATCTGAAGTATAATTAGGGAGAGGAAGGGAAATTGTGGCTATGAGTTAAATAATCAAAACAAGCAAGGAACAAGGGTTTTTGGTGATATTGTTTTCTGGATACACTATATTAAAACAAATGAAATGCCTGTATTTGGTTCTCAAGTGTTTTATAGTCTTATGAATGTGATTAAATGACCCAGATAAATTGTTCTTGGTCAGAAAACTACAGTAGTCTGAGAATTGGGTGATAGCTTTTGTTAA